CACCTCATTTTTGGTCAGTTTTTAGAAAGAGATAACGGTACCCTAACTGCAAAGTTTGAATGCTTACCCTCAAAAAAAGTGAAAATTACAGGGTATTTTTCGATATGCCACGCCCCTAAAGAGGCGTAAGGAATATTTTTGGGGAATCGATAGAGGAGGCTACCAGTAACTCAACTATCCAAATTTGAAGCTTCTAGCTATTATACTTTAGGAGATATAAACTTTTGCGGTTTGCCACGCCCCCTGTGGGCGGACATATATCCGACAAAACTTTTTGGTCTTGGGTGATCAGTCCGAGTATATATACAAAATTTGAGGTCTCTGCCATCAATAGTGTCCAAAATATAGGAGAATTTAAAAAATCACTATATCTTCAGGTCCGATTTGCCACGCCCCCAATGGGTGTAGACTTGTAATTTATCTTCAGACTTTATAGAATCATACCATTAGCTGACGTGCAAAATTTCAGCATTCTAGGTTTACAACTTTAGGAGATACAGTTTTATCCGATTTGCCACGCCCCCAATGGGCGTAGATATATCCGCCATAGCTCGTGATCTTGGGTGGTCAACGCGGACCTACATACAAAATTTCAGCTTTCTAGCTCTTTAACTAACATGATTTCTGGTATATCGGAAAATGCATTTTCCGATTTGCCACGCCCCTAGTGGGCGGATCGGGAAAATTTTAACATTTTATAAATCGGAGATATACACAAGTATGTGTATGGCGATCGGCGAGCCGCCTTACACATGTTGGCCCAGCTGTTGCCGGCTAAATTGCTTTTCCTAACTATACAATTACAGCTCGACTGACAAACAAGTTTGTTTGGCCTCTTGTCCACTTGTTTAGTAGTTCGCCAGACGTTGCCCATCGAACCGAATCTAGTTTCAGTGACCTATTCAACAATCCATTCGGATTATTGCGTCCAACATGCTTCGGCTCGATTCTCTGTTCGCTGCCATACAACCGTTCGAAAAAACACACTTCAGTAACCCATTCGTGTGTATGATCGCGTCTAGTGTGTTAATGCTTGGCCTGCCACAACAACTTGTATTAAGCCGATATGTTAGTCATGGTATGAACAAGCTTGTTCGACATAACGTGTTGTTTCACATACATAACACTAACGGCACTTAAATTCTTCTATTTTCATTATTGTGTGGATTTTCTTTTCTATTAACCCATTTTCAATGGGAAATCAGGATATAATGGTTTTGTTAAATGTATGTAACAGGCAGAAGGAGCCGTGGCAGACCCCATAAAGTATATATATTCTTGATCAGGGCGACGAGCTGAGTTGATTTGGCCCTGTCCGTCTGTCCGTATGTTTGAACGCGTCGATCTCAGAAGATATAAGAGCTAGAGACTTGAAAATTTTTTTCTTAGGTCCGTGTATAGCACGCGCATATCGAGTTTTGCTTTAAATATCGATAAATCGACCCGTTATCGATTAAAAACATTATCGAAAACCAGTAATAAATTTATATCTCCTACATCTTTAAAGCTAGAGTCTTTAAATTTGTTATGTATACTTATATGCATTTTATACAATTTCGATTTTTGTCAAAATTCACCCCCCACCTCTTATTCACCCCCTCACCCTATCATTTGTAAAAGGCGTATGTCAAATACTAGAGACTTGTGCTATGGTAAATACATACATATCCATGATATAATCACAATCTGAAAGTTTCATGAAAAAACTACATCCACAAGAAAAGTTATTGAACAATTAAGTTCCCTTAGTAAGCCACCACTGCAGCCAATGGATGTTTATGCGTGCGTGCGCATCTTTGTGTGTGTGCGTGTGTGTGTGTGTGTGCGTATGATGTGTGTGTATATGCCTGTGTGTATAAGCGTTTTTTTTATATTCATTTATTGACAAAATTATATAACAAATTGCAAGTTGCGTGGTGGTTAGGATAGCGCGCGGTGCTTGCGGGACGGCCGTAAAGCATTGCATTGTTTGCGGTTAACCCATGGTTCAAGCTCCGGGATGAGCTTGTGCGTCCACCGCCCTTTAGCTGAGCTATTCCACTTTCTTTGCCATCGTGCGATGCTGTTCGCCCTGACAGCGTTGAGTCGCGTAGGCCCGTGCGAATTCCGCTCCACGGCTACCAAATACTCCAGTGGCACCATACCGGCTATGACGAGCGCCGCGTCATCGGAGATAGTCCTGAAAGCGCAGCTGACTCTGATTGCGCTCAGCCTGTAGATCGCGCAAATGCCTCGGCTGTAGCTCGGCGTTGCCATCGCTCTTGCCCATATTGGCGCAGCATAGAGGATGACAGACCTAATGACGCTCATTAGGAGGAGACGTCGTTGCTGTTTAGGTCCCCGCGTGTTAAGCCTGATTCTCGAGAGAGCTCTACAAGAATCAGCTGCCTTTTTATGCACATATTCTAAGTGCTCGCGGAAAGTTAATCTTGTGTCTATCATGACACCAAGATATCTTATCGCCCTCTTTGACGCAATGGTGACGCTGCCGATCTTAATATGGCAGTTTCCACTCTTTTGCGACTGCTGACTAGTACAACTTCGGTCTTGTGTGCCGCTAGCTCGAGCCCAGCTCCTGTCAACCAGCTTCGTATGTGATTGATGCTTTCGCTGCACATATCCTCTGTATCTTTGAGCTCCTTTCCTATGGCTACGACAGCTACATCATCAGCAAAGCCAATGGTGTGCGCGCCTGCTGGTAGTTCCAAGCGCAGTACGCCGTCGTACATGATGTTCCATAGGAGAGGCCCCAGCACTGAGCCTTGGGGTACTCCAGCTGACACTGTATGAGTTTGGGGACCCTCACTCGTGTTGTATACCAGTGTTCTTCCTCTGAAGTAGCTCTTTATTATCTCTCTTAGATATTAAGGGATATTATATTGTGACAGCGCATTCAGTATCATATCCCAACTAGCTGTATTGAAGGCATTCCTTACATCCAGGGTCGCGATGATGCAGTATTCCTTCGTCCTGTGCCTCCATCTGGTGCCTTGAATAGCGGAAGTGGCCAGACCAACAACTTTGTTAAGCGCGTCCGTTGTTGACCGGGCCTTCCGGAATCCAAATTGGTTTGGTGACAGGCCTCCGGCGCTTGCAATCGCAGTCTCCAGCCTAGAGCAGATCAGTTTCTCAAACACCTTTCCCATGGTGTCTAAGAGACAGATCGGTCTGTACGAAGATGGCTCATCTGGTGGTTTGCCAGCCTTGGGTAGCAATACCAGATTCTGGGCTTTCCATTTTGCCGGGAACGTCTCTTGGATCAGGCATTCGTTAAATGATTCGGCGAACGTACTTGGGTGCAAGGCGAGGGCTAGCTTTAGCGCACGATTTGGGATCCCGTCCGGCCCTGGAGCTGTGTTGGTTCTAAGACCTCGGAGAGTTACTATGATTTCTTCCTCTGTAACTAAAACAATTTCAGTGCTCGTTGAGCCCTGATCAGCAGACTCGGACTCAGGGGCGTGAATGGAGCTTAAACTTTCTGGAATGAGTGTTTCCACAATCGATTTAAGCTCCAGACGATCCGTAGGCTGCACCTGTCTACCTGCGTATAGTCTTTTAACTACTATCTTATATGCCCTGCCCCAAGGGTCATATTCGGCTGAGTCGCACAACTGTAAAAAACATTCTCTTTTGCGTGCCCGAATGGCCTTCTTCAGCTGTCTTCTAGCTGCCTGGTAAGCTAACTGTTTCTCAAAAAACGTTGACCTACCGCGAGCCCGTTGGTAGCTTCTTCTCGCCTGGATGCATTTGCGACGAATGTCACCTATTTGCGTATTCCACCAATACGTAGGCTCATGTTGTCGCGTGAACTGCTTGCGGCGTAACATGCTGCTATTGCAGGCACTCTGTATTTGGGATACCATTTGGCATGCTCTGGCCTCAGCATTACCAATTGTACCCAGAGACTGTATGGCCTCTGAAAAGACCGCGGGATCAAAAGTATCTAGCCGATACGACTCCCTCCACAATGTTGACGCCCTGGCAGGTGGCTCACCTATTGTGAACAGAAGTGCCGTATGATCGCTGCCTGTATAGCTATCGCAATGGCTCCATGTTGCTCCCCGAAAGAGGGATGAAGTGACAAAAGTAATGTCGATAACAGACCCGTATCCCGCCCGACTGAAGGTGTACTCATGGCCAGTGTTGAGCAGTGCAACATCTAGTGTCGCGAAGATCTCCAGTAGGATACGACCTCTGGCATTTGTTGTGGGGCTACCCCATTCTAGCGCCCAGGAGTTAAAATCTCCAGCCATAATGGCCTTCCGACCCCTAGCATCCTCGGCAAGCTCGTCGAGCACCGTCGTGAATTCACTGAGCTGCATGCTGGGGGCCAGATAGCAACTGTAAAGCCATAAGCTACCATATCGGCCACGTACGAACCCATTGAATGACTTAACATTCGAAAGTACGTTCGTTGAGTTGCCGCATACCCACAACGCAGCTTTGCCATTAACGTCTGTTGACCATGTCCTAGGGCAGCTGGTTCTACAGTGGTGAGGCTCACTGAGAAAAGCTACATCTATACATTTTTCCCTAATGGTCTGCTCTAGAAGAGCTTGGGCAGCAACACAATGATTTAAGTTAAGCTGCAAAAAAGTGTGTGTGTGTGTGTGTCTTGTGTAAGCAAAAAGACGCGAAAAATGTTTGATTGCTCGAAGGGTTCAGGGGATCTCGTAGTCGAGCAGTCTCGACTATAGCTTTCTTACTTGTTTAAATATTGTAATGCAGAAATTCCGCAGTCTGAAGAAAACGGAGTATACAATTTCAAAATCGCTTATGGGTTAGTAATGTGCATACATTACAACACAATATACCCGCAACCCATTAAAATGTCTTACTTCTTAATGTAATGTAATTGGAGAAATAATTGATTACTAATTGAAAGATAGAAAGGCTTGAGTAATGTAATATTTTTTGTTTAAATTTTTAATAATTATTTCTTAATATCTATAAATAAATCTATTGTCTTAAACTATGTCTTATTACTATTTTATTACATCTATCTATCTACATATACATCTTAAGCTATGTCTTATTATCTAGTTTATCCTTTTTGTCGAATTTCTGCTTTGCCAGTCGACCTTTCTGGACTCCAAAGCAGCTTCTTATTGTAGCTATATAGGTCTTATAGAGTCCACCTTTGGTTTTGATAGCATCTGTAAATTAAACATTATTAATTTTTTTGTCATTAAAAATACATGTAAGATGATTTATACATACCAGATGGAGCATCGCATCGCATATATGTAATTACATGCATATGTATTTACATATTTATGTGCGTATATTGCATGTGGTCATAAACGTTTGACCGTGCTGGGAAATAAATAGCCAGAATTGCAATGTATTAAAGCCAATCGAAAGAAGAACGCGTGCCTCACACAAATCGGTAAAATCCAAAACGAAATTCGACAGACGCAACGAAAGACGAAAATCGTTTGTTGATTAGAGGGGAAGGGGCATGCAAAACTGAAGTTGACAAAAGCTCGATTCTTTCGTACGAGTAGTCGTTTTTATTTTGGCCATTACAAATGCGCTGAAAAAAAATCTCATATGTAATGCATTACTTTTTTCTCGTATGTACTGCATTATTTCGTCCGACCTCATTCAGGTCATCGCCACTGGGTATTTGTCTCTTCTACTTCTCTTCTCAGCCGAAATCATGCAGATTTCCCCATAACTTAGTTCCTTGGGTACTCTTCTTAGTCGTACATTGAGCATGTAGATTTACCGTTATCTTAGTTATTTTTATATTCTTATTTGTTAAGCGATTAGAAGCGCATTTTCTTTTCGCAAAATTTTAAAATAATTGATGAAAAATTATTTAAAAAGCGAGGAAAATTTCTGTCGACATTGAAAATAGTGGTGTGTGCCTGGCCGGGAAGGGCTTTTCTTCGCGTACTATTGCCGAAAAGCGTGGTATCAGCCGAAATTTGACTCCGAAAACTCAAGTCAAAGGTTGCAAAAAACTGTTCTCGGGCTCTGATGCTCGTCTAATGATGTCGAAAATGAAGAAAAACAAGCTGCTAGCACCAAAGGGTGCTTCTCTAGCAATAAATAAAAATGTTAGCAAATGGACTGCTAGAAGAGAAATTCGTGGCTTCGGATATGTTTCATTCGCTAAAAAACAAACCTGCATTGTCCGAAAAGAATGTGAAGGCGAGTTTGAAATTTGCAAAGGATCACAAAAACTGGAGCATTGATGATTGGAAACGAGTTGTTTTGTCAGATAAATTAAAATTTAACCGTTTCCAATCATATGAAAAGCAATATTACTGGCGCAGACCAGAGGAATGCATTTAACGACATCATGTAAAGGAAATTGTCAAACATGGCTGCGGCAGCATTATGGTTTGGGGTTGCAAAACATACTGTAAAGATTATTTTCGCTCCATACGTATAGAGTCTATATATAAATCCTATCCCGACTTCAATCCTATTTAAAATCAGTGGTCAATAGTGAAAAGACGGCTGGGACAGTATGATGCAGGCCCAACGAACATAGACAGCTTATGGGAGTGCGTAGAAGCGGAGTGGAGTCGAATTCCGAAAGAAATGATTCAAAGCACAAGTCTCTAGTATTTGAAATACGCTTTTTACAAAAGTGAGGGTGAGGAGGTGGACAAGGGGTGGGGGGGTACATTTTAACAAAAACCGAATTTGCATAAATTGCATATTAGCATACATAAAAAATTTGGAGACTTTAGCAATAAAGGTGTAGGAGATATAATTTTATAACTGGTTTTCGATTAGGTTTTTTATCGATAAAAAAGATCGGGATGACTTATCGATTTTTAATGATAAACTTGATATGCGCGCTGTAATTACGGACATTTAACAAAAATTTGAAACAACAAGTAAGAAAGCTCTAGTCGAGACTACTCGACTACTAGATCCCCTGAACCCTTGGAGTAATAGCTATTTCAATAATTTTTCGCGTCTTTCAGCTTACACAAGAAACACACACACACACACACACACACACACACACACGCACACACAGGCATACATACACACACACACACACACACATACACAAACATTTACATACATATACACACACAAGCATAAACACGCATGGGCGGCAGTGAGCGCTTACTATGAGAACTTAATTGCTTAAAACTTTTTTTGTAGACGTACGATCTTCATGAAACTTTTAGATTATGATTATAACATGGATATGCATGTAATTGCTAAAGCACCAGTCTCTAGTATTTGAAATACGCTTTTTACAAAAGTGATGGTGAGGGGGATGAATTTAAGGGTGGGGGGTAAATTTTAACAAAAACCGAAATTGTATAAATTGCATATAAGCATATATTAAAAATTTGGAGACTCTAGCAATAAAGGCGTAGAAGATATAATTTTTTAACTGGTTTTCGATAAGGTTTTTTATCGATAAAAAAAGATTGGGATGAGTAATCGATTTTTAATGATAAACTTGATATGCGCGCTGTAATTTCGGACATTCCCATTTTCAATGGGAAATCAGGGTATAATGGTTTTGTTGAAATGTATGTAACAGGCAGAAGGAGGCGTGGCAGACCCCACAAAGTATATATATTCTTGATCAGGGCGACGAGCTGAGTTGATTTGGCCCTGTCCGTCGTCTGTCCGTCTGTCCGTCTGTCCGTCCGTCCGTCTGTCCGTCTGTCCGTATGTATGAACGCGTCGATTTCAGAAGATATAAGAGCTAGAGACTTCAAATTTTTTTTTAAATGTTCGTAATTACAGCGCGCTTATCAAGTTTATCATTAAAAATCGATAACTCATCCCGATCTTTTTTTATCGATAAAAAACCTTATCGAAAACCAGTTATAAAATTATATCTTCTACACCTTTATTGCTAGAGTCTCCAAATTTTTAATGTATGCCTATATGCAATTTATACAATTTCGGTTTTTGTTAAAATTTACCCCCCACCTCTAAATTCACCCCCTCACCCTCACTTTTGTAAAAAGCGTATTTCAAATACTAGAGACTTGTGCTTTGGCAATTACATGAATATCCATGTCATAATCATAATCTGAAAGTTTCATGATGATCGTACGTCCACAAAAAAGTTATTAAGCAATTAAGTTCTCATAGTAAGCGCTCACTGCCGCCCATGCTTGTTTATGCTTGTGTGTGTATATGTATGTTATTGTTGTTGTGTGTGTATGTGTATGTATGCCTGTGTGTGCGTTCGTGCGTGCGCGGGTGTGTGTGTGCGTGTTTCTTGTGTAAGCTGTAAGACGCGAAAAATTATTGAAATAGCTATTACTCCAAGGGTTCAGGGGATCTCGTAGTCGAGTAGTCTCGACTAGAGCTTTCTTACTTGTTTTATTTAAGCTTGGTGCGGAACCAAATTCAGCAGTTTAAAACCAAGCTTTAGTTATTGATATGTAACCGTAAATGTAATATAAACTTTGCAATTGTTGTGTGGGTGGTTGTCCCTTTTAACTCATTAACGAATAAATTGTCATGTTGCACCCGAATATGAGTTCGCCATTTACAGCTGCTGGAGGTTTGCGACAACCACATACCCAATATTCTGCTCTAATCAAGTCGAAATTAGAGAAATTTAATAAAACTAATCCCAGGGTGACACAGTTTGATCATTTGAAAGAAAGTATTATAATTTCATCACGCACATTATGAAGTATATGACGAAGTGGCTCTCATGGTGCCTTTTGCAGCCGGTTGTTATTATTTTTGTCGATCGGGGTAATAGATCCATCTCCATCTATAATGATCAAAATAAAACTGATCGGAAGGAGACTGAAAAGAAAATTAGTATCTGTCCTTGCATCACAAACAAACTATTCAACGCATTATTTAGTACATGCCGCGTTAGTTTCTGTGCACAAACCCGAAAAAGATGAATTGATGAAGGTATTAAAAGCTACTAGAGAAGTAGAACAAAAAACTTTGTTTGACTTAACAAATCATTGATATGCAATGATTTACCAATTCTCTAACAAATTAGCAGTAAGTCAACATTCTTAATCTAAATAAAGATTGGATATGTGATATATTTCCACCATAATGAGCTTGATAATGATAGGCTATTTGAAATTTTTGTTGTTGTTGTCATCTTAAATAAAAACGACTTATTTTTTTATAGGTATTGGAAGAGGGGGTGTAGGCGTGACCCAAAATAAAAAATCTAAAATTCTATAAGAATTTAGCAAAGATATGTGTAAAATTTGAAGCATCTAGCTTGAAAATTGACTTCATGCCAAAAAATCCGTCTTTTTATACCCTGAACCCATTGAAAATGGGAAATCAGGGTATAATGGTTTTGTGAAAAGTATGTAACAGGCAGAAGGAACCATCGTAGACCCCATAAAGTATATATATTCTTGATCAGCACGACGAGCTGAGTCGATATAGCCCTGTCCGTCTATCTGTCCTTCCGTCGATAACCCGGCCGATAAGTTCTTTATCGAGTATAATCGAAAAATCGACTTTTGGAGACTTCATATTTGCGTTGTATATAAAGTTAATGGATTCGAAGATTTTGCAATTTACTGATTTTGGATACCACGCCCCCTTCGCCCAAAATTAAAAAAAACGTATTTCAAGTACTAGAGACATGAGCCTTGGAATGTACACATCTTTTTAACCATATGCTCACGTTTTAAAAGCTTCATAAAGATAATCTTACTATAAGAGAAATTATTCAACTAACAAATTCTCATAATATTACCCACACTGCTGCGCAGCCCAAACGCAGTCGCCTACTTATCGCGCAGTCAGCAGAGCGCGTGCTTATGCGTACGTGTGCATAAAAGAAGTGCAGAATGATTGGAATATCAGTTTAGAGGGTTAAGGGTATCTTCTAGTCGAGCAATCAGAATGAATTTTCATAAAAAGCCCTCGCCTTGCACCCTAGTACGTTCGCCGAATTATTCAACGAATGCTTAATAGAAGAGACGGGACGAAGCAATACTGCTTCATCGCGACCCTGGACGTTAAGAACGCCATCAACACAGCTAGATGGGATATGATACTGAATGCGCTGTCACAATATAATATCCCTAAATATCTAAAAGAGATACTAAAGAGCTACTTCAGAGGAAGAACACTGGTATACAACACGAGTGAGGGTCCCCAAACTCATACAGTGTCAGCTGGAGTACCCCAAGGCTCAGTGCTGGGGCCTCTCCTATGGAACATCATGTACGACGGCGTACTGCGCTTGGAACTACCAGCAGGCGCGCACACCATTGGCTTTGCTGATGATGTAGCTGTCGTCGCCATAGGCAAGGAGCTTAAAGATACAGAGGATATGTGCAGCGAAAGTATCAATCGCATACGAAGCTGGTTGACAGGGCTCGAGCTAGCGGCGCACAAGACGGAAGTCGTCCTAGTAAGCAGTCGCAAAAAAGTGGATACTGCCAATATAAGGATAGGCAGCGTCAGCATCGCGTCAAAGCGGGCGATTAAGTATCTTGGCGTCATGATAGACACAAGATTAACTTTCCGCGAGCCCTTAGAATATGTGCATAAAAAGGCAGTTGTTTCTTGTAGAGCTCTCTCAAGAATTATGCTTAACACGCGGGGACCTAAACAGTAACGACGTCTTCTTCTAATGAGCGTCATTAGGTCTGTCATCCTCTATGCTGCGCCAATATGGTCAAGAGCGATGGCAACGCCGGGGCATTTGCGCGATCTACAGACTGAGCGCAATCTGAGTCAGCTGCGCTTTCAGGACTGTCTCCGATGATGCGGCGCTTGTCATAGCCGGCAGGGTGCCACTGGAGTACCTGGTCGCCGAAGCCGTGGAGCGAAATTCGCACACGCCTGTGCGACACAACGCTATCAGGGCGAACAGCATTGCACGATGGCAAAGGAACTGGAATAGCTCAGCTAAAGGGCGGTGGACGCACAAGCTCATCCCGGAGCTTGAACCATGACCCATGACCCAACCGCAAACACGGCGAGGTTAACTTCTACCTCTCGGGCCACGGATGCTTTCGGAGCTATTTGAAGCGCTTTGGTCACGAGGAAACTGACGAGTGCCCCTGGTGCGGGCGAGAGCATGTGGAAGACGTATGTATGTGGACGGTTCCTGGAGGAGAGGCGTCGTCTAGAAGAGGCACTGGGCCGCTCCATCAGAGCGGACAACATGGTCAACGTAATTCTGGAATTGGAGGCAGCTTGGAAACTTATAATCACCTTCGCGGCCACAATTATGATGGAGCTTCGCAGAATCGAGCGAAGACAAGCTGTCCCAGGCTAAGGGAGTGTAAAGTGCTTGCAAAGCAATGCTTTACGGCCGTCCCGCAAGCATTGTGCGCTACCCTTAGCAACCTAAACGTGGCACCTAAACGTAGAAACTTTGCAGTCGGGCGATATCGATTGCAGAATACTTACAGCCCAAACGCTGTCAACCAGAGTATATAGTGCAACTTTCAAGTCTAGTGCGAAACAAAAAACCGGGCATGATCCCATTCAAATTGGAAAATCATCGTTAGCTATTGCTATCATCATTGCATCATTGCATTATATAAATTTTTGATTTTTATTATATATGTATTTATATCTATATATTGGATACCGGCTTCAAGCTCGCAGCAGATCAGCGCGATTTTCCTATACATGTGCACACACTCATCGTCTATTCTATGCGTACAGACAGAAGCACGCCTTTTCTCACATTCTTAGAATTTCGATTGATTTCTGGACTTTCTAGCCGTTACTGTAGTTTTGTCTGATGACGCTCTCCTATTATGCTATTCTATTTTAGCAACTGGCTGGTCAAGCAAAGCAGTGGCGCGGGTGCTAAGGGCGACGCAAATTATGTTAGAGTAAGGGAGGTTCAAAACCTCTTTGATGTTATTTATTTATTTTTTTTTTTTCATACATATTTCTTTTTTTATAAAATAGATATTTTATTGGGAAGGGGCGAGCTTGAATGAATGGCACTTAATACGTTTCTTTTTCTTAGTCGAATAATTTTATAAGTTTAAATTTGTTTCTTCTTAAATAGCCCTCAAATACATATACGCAAATACATACATATGTATATATGTATATATGTAAGTCTGCACGCATAGAATCAAGCATTCCAGCCTTATACACGCGCTCATTTGTATGTGTGTATGTATGTACACTGCAACTGATTTGTCTTTGCATTGTTTTTGAATTTCCAGCCGCTACACTGGCTTTTCTTTGCTATATGGCGTCATAACAATAATGTGATTTCGTTTTAACATGTTTCCAGAGACTGCAAGTGTGTGTGTGCTTGCCCGTCACGAAATCATATTGTTTATTGGCATCAACGCTTTCATACCCTTCTCACGAATAACCATCGAAACGCTTACATTTTGTTTGCATGAGCATGACAAACGCTTTTATGATCTCGGTATACCCTTCATTCAAAAGGAAAGAGCTGGGATCGTCGCGAACAATTTTCAATTTCTGGGCGCTGCTGCTATTTGAGAGACCATAGAGAGAGAACATAAAGAGAGGGAGGGAGAGACTAAGGGAAAAAGAGCGCATAACCGTACTTCTTTTGGGAACGTGTGCATTTTGTGGCAGCGGTCGCAGCGCACTGATTTAGTCGTGCCTTATTTTCACTGCTTGAGCCTCAAAAGACCGAGCCGAGCAAATACGAACTTTGGTCTCTCTGGTCTCTTCTGCGCAATTTTTCCTCGTTGAATTTTTTTCTAGATGTCTAGTCTATGTTCCTGCAATAGGCAGTTAAAAAAGGCCAGATTTGGCCAGTAAAAGGCTAAGTTGGCAGCCCTGGCCCGAACCTAAAAATGAGGAGCCGAGCAAATACGAAGTGGTTTGGGAAATACCGCTCAAAAAAAAAACAACAAAGTTAAAAAAACAAATAAGAAGACTCTAGTAGAGACTGCTCGACTAGGAGATACCCTGAACCCTCTAATCTGATATTCTAATCACTCTGCACTTCTTTTCGACACACATACATACACACGCACGTATTAGAACGCGCTCTGCTAACTGCGAAGTAAGCAGCGACTGCGCTTGTGCTGCGCTGCAGTGTGGGCAATATTCTAAGAATTTATTTGTTGAATAATTTAATTCCTAGAAATACAATCTTAATGAAACTTTCAGAGCGTAATCATATGGTAAAAATTCTAAAGCACACGTCTCTAGTACTTGAAATACGCCTTTTACAAAGGTGAAGGTGAGGGGGTGAATATAGGGGTGGGGGGTAAATTACAATAAAAATCGAAATTATATAAAATACATATAAGTCTACATTTAAAATTTGGAAGCTCTAGCTCTAAAGGTGTAGGAGATATAATTAAATAACTAGTTTTCGATAAGGTTTTTAATCGATAATAAAATATCGGGAGTAGTTATCGATATATAAAGAAAAACTTGATATGCGCGTGATATACACGGACCTAGGAAAAAAAATTCAAGTCTCTAGCTCTTATATCTTCTGAGATCGACGCGTTCATACATACGGACGGACGGACAGACAGACGGACAGGGCCAAATCGACTCAGCTCGTCGCCCTGATCAAGAATATATATATATATAGTTTGTGGGGTCTGCCACGCCTCCTTCTGCCTGTTACATACTTTTAACAAAACCATTATACCCTGGTTTCCCATTTTCAATGGGTTCAGAGTATAAAAAAAATCATCGGCGTTATCATGTTAACTCAAAGTTGTTGAAGGCTAATGGGAAACATCTCTATATTTGTAAGAAATCACATAATACATTAAAATCAGAAATTTAAATGATGATATGCCAGTTTAAAGAAAATTTATTGATTGCTTTTGTTTGCAACAATGTTGAAATGCAATAGCTATTTTGTAAATGTAAATAGCAACATAAATACCAATATCGACAAACGATACTTCCATCGATATTTTCGATGGCTCCATCGATGATTCTCCAGCATACGGACGGACGGACAGGGTTAGATCACTAACCAGAGAACACATAGACTAGACAACTAGTGGAAAGCTTTTTGCACGCTTTTTTTAAGGCTTTAACACCCCAGACAGCTTTGGACTCGCTCGGCTCCTTACTTTTAGGTTCGAGCTACGAAAAAATACGAACGCACAATCATTTCGCTTCATGCGCTCGACCGAGATGGTCAAATTTTGAACAAAAGATCCCTCTATGCTCAATGTTTCCGTTGTTCTCTCTCTGCTGCAAATTGTTTGCATCGTGTGTACCTAGCTTTAGAGAGATAGAAATAAAAATAAGGACTTTCTTAACCTGCCCTCGTATGCCGGCTTATATACATAGTATATATATATATATATATATATATATATATATATATATATATATGTATATACATATGTATATATGTATATATGTATGTACATATATATATATATATATATATATATATATGTATGTATGTATATTTATACATATATGTTTATACACCCACATATATACATATGTATGTATGTGTGCATTATAATTATGAATTACATATATCCATTATTACATATATGCAGATATATATATGTATGTACACACATACATATGTATGTATTTACTATGCTAAGTGCTAGGGGGTATGAATTCGACGATATTGATGGCTACACACACTAAACACATACATACATATATATTTGTGGAGTGTTTACAGATAAATATTACTATAAACACTCAACATCTGCATGTGTATATTTGTGTATGTACATACATATATGTTTGTGCGTATATGCATGGATGGATAGATATTTATTTATGTATGTACACATATTGCTATCCACTTTTTCAGTCGTTAGGAGCACATGCATTCAGTTAGACTCAAAAGGCCTATTTACTCCAACGTCTTTTTCTGTGGTGCGGTAGCAATCAGCGATAAGATACATTTCTTATAGATACAAACACACACAACGCTTATGCGTAGACACCTATAAATAGTGTATGCTCAACGCATTGGCTTAAAAGTAAAAAATATAATATCGAATATAAATAAAATACTGATTATGTGTGTGAAACTGGCTTTTTTATACTTAGTTTTCTGTTATGTATTTAGAAATATCAATTCAGTCAAAATATGCTGTAATCCACAATCAATATTATATAAAATCTATGGACCGAATAACCTAACTACTTATAATTGTACTGACACCCTTGAAAGTCTAAATGAAACCGACAGTGCATACACTATTGACCTGCTTGGTACTACAGAAACTCCACAAGGATATGGCTTAGTCGAAATTAATGACACATTCGGTCTGACTAATTTTCCACAATGTGCGCACATCGGATACTCAAATGTATCCCTACTGACAGAAATATCATTTACCGTATTTGCAAACTCATGCATTCTTATTCTAGACAGCAAAAGTCTGGTTAGTTTAACATGCCAAGCGAAAAAAGATGATATGTTGCAAAGTATTGGCATTATAAATAAATGCTGTCCGCATGGATACTCCTTTGGCGCAGATATAAAAAAGTGCTATTTACGATACCCCGACTACAATAAATACTCTGCCATTTTTGATAATCCAATGATTTTTGTTGACAATTCGTTCAAGTGTCCCAAGAATAAAGTTTTAGTTGAATATGTACTAACGGCGGAAGCTATTGTGATACAAAATGAAAGAATTTTACTTAAAGAACATAAGAAATCATTTCAGAGAAGTGAATTTTGTATTGAAGTGTTAACTAAAAATGAAAACTCTCAATTCGATAAAAATATTCAACAATTTATAGTTCGTACTTGTCAACAATTAAAAATTTGTGATTCTGTACCGTGTGTTCGTAAGTGTTGTGTCGATGGTGAAATCTATGCGAAAAGAAATTTGACAACGGCTTGTACAAGAGATGAAAATAATTTTCAATATCACAGTATATATAGCATGAATACCAGTGGTGCTTTTGCCAAACCCTCAGGTATGCACAGTATATTATAGTTATGTATTATCACTAAACACACTTGGCCGGTCTATGTGTTCTGTGGTTAGTGGTACAGTCAACCCTCGTTATTTCAAAATTCAAGGGACTCTTAAAATATTTCGAATTATCGAATGTTTGAAATATTGAATAGTTCGAAATTTTAAGAGAAAGTAAATAAAACTTCGAATTATCAAGGGTTTTTATTTAACGTAATATACATATGTTCAAATTAATTAAGCTTTATAAAAAACTCATTTATACGGATTTGCTTCGAAGCACATTGCTTCTGCTCAGACTTTTCAATAATTTTTTTAAAGACAAAAAGTGCTGTTTCGTCAGTTTCGTTTTGTAGACAAAAGTTTTGTAAGTTATCCAATGAGGCTCTTGCTACCGTAACTGACACCGTTGCCAAAGGTTCTGATGTATCGTCTTCATCTTCATCGTTGCTCTTTTTATTCGTATCTTTCGCAGATAAAATTTTATCATCGGTTAGGGATCCTGAAATATCCACTTGAACATAGTCTTTTGCAACTTCGCTTTTCTTCTCACCTCCTTCTAATTTTCCAATTAGTTTCTTCTTTTCAGCAATCGTCAAATTTGTATACTTTTTAGGACTCATTTAATAAAAAACTTTAATATGTATACTAACGAAGTGATTCGTGCGGAAGCGAGCATCAAAATGTGCCTATGTTAATATGCGTAACACGCAACCACGCACAGTGAAGTTAGTTTCAGGGGAGTTCCAAAATTAAAAGTCAAAGTTCTTACTTCGAATTGTCGAGTGTTTAACCATATGAGTAAGAATTACATACCGCGTCTTAGCAATGATTTTTTAGTTCGAATTACTGAGTGCATAAAAATGTATGGACTTAATTCGAAATATAAAGAGATTTTGTAGGTCGACTGTATTCTTATTATTAAATAAGTGCAACTGTACCATTTCATACTTGTACATACATATACATACATATGTGCATATATTATTTTATTATAACTATAATTTGTCACGTATTTATTTCGCTATTTAAAAATATTTTTTCGTAAATAAAGTTAAAACAAAGCATACATACATATAAGCGCATGTTTTTATGCACATACATACATACGTACATGTAATTATATTACATGCCTTAAGCGATAGAAACAATATCAAGGAATTTGCTGCCAACTCCAGTCATTGTAAAATGTGATACAAGTTTTAGGGATTAGCGGTTTTATACCCTGAAGCAATTTTCATCAGAAAATCGGTGTATAATAGTTTTGTGAAAAGTATGTAACAGGTAGAAGGAATCATCGCAGACCATAAAGTATATATATTCTTGATCAGGACGACGAGCTGAGTCGATATAGCCCTGTCCGTCTTTCCGTCCGTCCGTATGAACGCGTAGATCTCAAAAATTATAAGAGCTATAGAGCTGAAATTTTGCTTGAAGATTCGTGTATACCATACCAGTACAAGCTTATCATATTTTGCTCGACTCGAAAACCATTTCCACTATGCGCACCAATGCATTCATACCCTTCCCAAAAATAATAACGAAAACGCAAATATTTTGTACGAGCTTGGCAAACGGTTTGAAGAGTTCAGTACACTTTTCAAACAGAAGGAAAGAAATGGCAGTCTAACGCGAAGAAATTTCAATTTTCGTGGGCTATTGCTTGTGCTCGCATGCATACATACACTCATGATGAAAATAATAGGTACACCCCTTAAAATTAAACTTTTTTGAGTTTAGTTTATCAAAACATATTTTCTACTGCCTTTAACATGAAAATTGAAATGCACATTTCTGAGTTAGGTATATATTAATAAAAATAAGTAAATTTGGAAAAAAAAAATATTTTTTCAAAAGTTACAAAAAAAAAAAACAAGTAAGAAAGCTCTAGTCGAGACTGCTCGACTACGAGATCCCCTGAACCCTTGGAGTAATAGCTATTTCAGCAAGTTTTCGCATCTTTCAGTTTAGACAAGAAACACGCACACACACACACACATACGCACGCACGCACACACAGGCATACATACACACACACAGGCATACATACACACACACAGGCATACATACACACACACACAGGCATACATACATACACACACACACACAAATACAGTTGAAGCCCATTCGGGTAAGCAAAAAAGAATGCTTTCTAGAGTTGTGCGACTCAGCCGAATATGACCCTTGGGGCAGGGCATATAAGACAGTAGTTAAAAGACCATACGCAGGTAAACAGGTGCAGCCGACGGATCGTCTAGAGCTTAAATCGATTGTGTAAACGCTCTTTCCAGAAAGATTAAGCTCCATTCATGCCCCGGAGTCCGGGTCTGAAAATCAGGGTTCAACGAGCACTGAAATTGTTTTAGTTACAGATGAAGAAATCTTAGTAGCTCTCAGAGGTCTTAGAACCAACATAGCTCCAGGGCCGGACGGGATCCCAAATCGTGCGCTAAAGCTAGCCCTCGCCTTGCACCCTAGTACGTTCGCCGAATTATTCAACGAATGCTTAATAGAAGAGACGTTCCCTGCAAAATGGAAGACCCAGAACCTGGTATTGCTACCCAAGGCTGGCAAACCACCAGACGAGCCATCTTCATACAGACCGATCTGTCTCTTAGACACCATAGGAAAGTGTTTTGAGAAATTGATCTGCTCTAGACTGGAGACTGCTATTGCTAGCGCCGGAGGCCTATCTCCAAATCAATTTGGATTCCGGAAGGCCCGGTCAACAACGGATGCTCTAGAAAAAGTTGTTGACCTGGCAACTTCCGCCATCCAAGGCACCAGATGGAGGCATCATCGCGACCCTGGACTTTAAGAACGCCATCGACACAGCTAGTTGGGATATGATACTGAATGCGCTGTCACAAAATAATATCCCTAAATATCTAAAAGAGATAATAAAGTGCTACTTCAGAGGAAGAACACTGGTATACAACACGAGTGAGGGTCCCCAAACTCATACAGTGTCAGCTGGAGTACCCCAAGGCTCAGCGCTGGGGCCTCTCCTATGGAATATCAGGTACGACGGCGTACTGCGCTTGGAAGTACCAGCAGGTGCGCACACCATTGGCTTTGCTGATTATGTGGCTGTCGTCGCCATAGGCAAGGAGCTTAAAGATACAGAGGATATGTGCAGCGAAAGTATCAATCGCATACGAAGCTGGTTGACAGGGCTCGAGCTAGCGGCGCACAAGACGGAAGTCGTCCTAGTAAGCAGTCGCAAAAAAGTGGAGACTGCCAATATAAGAATAGGCAGCGTCAGCATCGCGTCAAAGCGGGCGATTAAGTATCATGGCGTCATGTTAGACACAAGATTAACTTTCCGCGAGCCCTTAGAATATGTGCATAAAAAGGCAGTTGTTTCTTGTAGAGCTCTCTCAAGAATTATGTTTAACACGCGGGGACCTAAACAGTAACGACGTCTTCTTCTAATGAGCGTCATTAGGTCTGTCATCCTCTATGCTGCGCCAATATGGTCAAGAGCGATGGCAACGCCGGGGCATTTGCGCGATCTACAGACTGAGCGCAATCTGAGTCAGCTGCGCTTTCAGGACTGTCTCCGATGATGCGGCGCTTGTCATAGCCGGCAGGGTGCCACTGGAGTACCTGGTCGCCGAAGCCGTGGAGCGAAATTCGCACACGCCTGTGCGACACAACGCTATCAGGGCGAACAGCATTGCACGATGGCAAAGGAACTGGAATAGCTCAGCTAAAGGGCGGTGGACGCACAAGCTCATCCCGAAGCTTGAACCATGACCCATGACCCAACCGCAAACACGACGAGGTAAACTTCTACTTTACGCAGATCCTCTCGGGACATGGCTGCTTTCGGAGCTATTTGAAGCGCTTTGGCCACGAGGAATCTGACGAGTGCCCCTGGTGCGAGCGAGGGCATGTGGAAGACGTCAACCACATTCTTTTCGAATGTGGACGGTTCCTGGAGGAGAGGCGTCGTCTGGAAGAGGCAGTGGGCCGCTCCATCAGAGCGGACAACATTGTCAACGCCATGCTGGAATCGGAGGAAGCTTGGGAACTAACAAGCACCTTCGCGGCCACGGTGATGATGGAGCTGCGCAGAGTCGAGCGAATGAGAAGACGAGCTGTACCAGGCTAAGCTAGCGCATAGTGCTTGCGAAGCAATGCTTTACGGCCGTCCCGCAAGCATCGCGCGCTATCCGAGCCACCACTCAACTTGCAACTTGTAGTATAATAAGATTGTAAATAAACGAATATAAAACAAGTAAGAAAGTTCTAGTCGAGACTGCTCGCTTACGAGGTCCCCTGAACCCTTCGAGCAACTGATATTTCAATAATTATTCGCATATGCACACATACAAGCATATACAGACATACGTACGCACGCATAAACACGCATAGGCTGCTTACTATGGGAACTATGGGAACTTCATTGTTTAATAACTTTTCATGTGGATGGACTATCTTCAAGAAACTTGCAGATTATGAATATAACATAGATATGTATGTATTTGCCAAAGCACACGTCCCTAGTATTTGAAATACGCCTTTTACAAAAGTGAGAGTGAGGGGGTGAATTAGAGGTGGCGGGTAAATTTTGACAAAAATCAAAATTGTATAAAATATATAAGTATACATAAAAAATTTGGAGAGTCTAACTTTAAAGATGTAGCAGATATAAATTTATTACTGGTTTTTGATAATGTTTCTAATCGATAACAAAATAACGGAGTAAGTTATCGATATTTAAAGCAAAACTCGATATGCGCGTGCAATACACGGACCTAGGAAAAACATTTCCAGTCTCTAACTCTTATATCTTCTGAGATCGACGCGTTCAAACATATGGACAGACGAACAGACGGACGGACAGACAGACGGACAGGGCCAAATCGACTCAGCTCGGCACCCTGATCAAGAATATATATACTTTGTGGGGTCTGCCACGCCTCCTTCTGCCTGTTACATACATTTCAACAAAACCATTATACCCTGATTTCCCATTGAAAATGGGTTCAGGGT